TTTTATATATATATATATATATATATATATATATATATCTTTAAAAAAAAAATTATTATTTCAAGGATGCCTGGGTGGTTCAGTCGGTTGGCCGTCTACGTTAGGGTCAGGTCTTAATCTCCTAGGATTGAGACCCACATTGGGCTCCCTGCTCAGCGGGGAGTCTGCCTCTCCCTCTGCCTGTCGCTTCCTCCGCTTGTGCTCAACTCTCTCTGACAAAGAAATAAATAAAAATCTTAAAAAAAAAAAATGAATTATTATTTCATTCCAGGAATGAGCGTTCTGCCAGATACAATGAGACCATAAAGTCCATGGCTCAGCTTAGGGCACAAGAATTCTCTTATTTTTGAACTTCTATTTCAGCCACCCTCTGACAAAAGAAGGAGTAAGAGACAAAATGAGACATACCAGTTACAGCAGAGTCTCCTAATTTAAGTACTATTGGCATTTTGGACTGGATCATCCTTTGCTGCGGGTGGGGGCGATCCTGTGCAAGCGAGGGTGTTTGGCAGCATCCCCAGATTCTACCCACTAGATGCCAGGAGCGATCTCAGGCATGACAATCAAAAATGTCTCCAGATTTGCCAAATATTCCGGGGGTGGGGGCGGGGAAGGGGCAGGCAAAAATCACTACCAGCTGAACACCACTGGGTTACAGACAGGTGAAAATCCAAACACTCTGACTGCTTCAATCAGGAAAGATTTGCTAGATGCAAGAGTTTCAAAAAGTAGGAAAGGGGTTCAGGGGAGCAAAACAGCAATGAATGGTTATCAAGTAATGTGCTATAGGAGGAAAGGGAATCTAAGCGAACCTAGAATCATTTTGCCTATTTGGCTGTTACCCACTCCTCTCCCTCCCCCAGAAAGCTACAGCCAGAAAGGGATAATTTTACAGACCTCTGGTGACATAAATTGCCCTATCTAGTGACTAGATAGGGTTTTTTTTTTTTTAAGCTTTATTTATTTAAGTAATCTATATACCAAACATGGTGCTCAAACTCACAACCCAGAGATCAAGAGTCAGAAGCTCTTCCAACTCAGCCAGCCACGCACCCCAAGTTTTTTTGTTTTAAGCTACCTTTTTGCGCATCTCTGGCTCCCAACACCCTAGAGAAGTACAAAACGCAGAGGTTACCTGTCGAGGTTTTGCTGAAAGGACCTCTGGGGAAAGTGTGTCTTTTGGTTCTTCCCTGCACCCATTTCTCCAAGGCGCCTCATGAGTGGTAGCCCACACTCACTCATACTGAACAGGAGGAGAGAGCAGAGGTTCTTCCCCAACATTAAACTCTTTTCCTATATGAGAATTCAGTCCTACCGTAACTCCTCTAACTCACAAGTTCTCCTCCTGGTACAAGAGAAAGCCCCCCCCCCCGCCCATTTCCTCGATACCAAGAACTGCCCAGATGGCTATGGACTCAAGGGACAACAAAGCGGTCCAGGTGAGTGGCTGCAGAGATAAGGAGCTCACTGAAGTGGTAAGACAGGCACCATGGTCCCTAGAAACGGAACCATATTATAGACACGCTTGGCCATATGGTTCTGATTCTGGAGAAAAAAGGGATGTGGAACGGCGGGAAGGCCGAGCAAGCAGGACAGACCTAGTGCTAGACCCCCAAAGGAACTTTCCAAAACTCACTCCCATTAGTGCTGGTTCAGCTGAATCAGGACAAGTCAGATCCCCAGCATGGAGAGGCTAAGCAGACAAAGGCTAAGCAGAAAAGCAGAAAGAAGGGACCACATACAACTAACTCTGAGGAGAAAGGAAATCCATGGGAAGGTGAACAACTAACCCCTTGCTCAGGCAAGCCAAGAAAGCAGCCAAAAGGAATGAATACAAGAGGAATCCTCTGGCACTTTTGCCACATCTTGGAAGAGGACTGAGCAGGGACTGTGGTGGCCTTCCTTTCGCCGTCAGGGTCCACCGTCACCCCAGTCTGTCCAGTCTATGCATCACCCACAAGACATGCTGTGCATATCCCCAGCTCTGCCCTTCATGCTCTTTGTTCTTCTGTCAGAAAGCAGCAGAACTGTCATTTGAAGAGATCACAGACTAGGGTTGAATCCTGGCTCTGCTGCTGCTGCTGCTTCTTCTAAAGATTTCATGTATTTATTTGACAGAGAGAGAGAGAGAACACAAGCAGGGGGGAGTGGCAGAGGGGGAGGGAGAAGCAGACTCCCCATTGAGCAGGGAGCCCAATTCGGGGCTCGATCCCAGGACACTGGGATCATGACCCGTGCAGACACCCAAATGACAGAGGCACCCAGGTCCACACTGCTCCCCCCACCTCCAGCTCTGCTTCTTACTTGCTGTGGGATTTGGGCCTCTCTAAGCTTCATTTTTTGGTTTTATTTTTTAATTTATTATTCTTTTTATTTTTTAAAAAGATTTTTTAAATTTATTTGACACAGAGAGAGAGATCACAAGTAGGCAGAGAAGCAGGTGGGGGGGGGTGGGGGAGAGCAGGCTCCCCGATGAGCAGAGAGCCCAAAGCAGGGCTTGATCCCAGGACCCTGAGATCATAACCTGAGCTGAAGGCAGAGGCTTAACCCACTGAACCACCCAGGCGCCCCATCATTTTTGGTTTTAAAAATGGCCATACTGTAAACAATTTCATGAAGTTGTTCTGAGGACTAAATGTGATAACCCAGAAGTGCCTACTCTGTGGTTGGAAAGATGAGCTGGCTTCCATCTTCTTTCTCTACCTGTCCCTCCTGGTCCATTCATGCCACCTAAAGCCCCTGACTCTGTGTTGCCTTCCCTGACCACCCGCACCACAGCAATCCTCTTCCTCCAGACCTCCAGGTGCCAGCACTTGTGGCTCTCATATGGAACTCGCTATCTTTTCGTGGGCATGTGTCTTAATCTTGAAACATAGTTTATGACTCTGGTGACTAAACCCTCTGCTGTTCAAAGAGGGACACTTTGAGAATGAAAAGGGGTGCACTTATCCGTTGTGCGCGAACAAACTGAAACTCTCCTGGGCTGCCCACTTATAAAATACCCTTCTCCCCTTCATTTAGGAAGAACACAGGTTAACTCTTAAGCCCCACCCCCACCCTATCCTCCACCAGCTGACAGCACAAACCAAACAGCCTTGCTTTTCTGTCAGAGGAAGAGCGGAGGGCAGATCCAGCTATACTTAGAGCATGAGGAAACCTGAGCTGCCAATGGAAGAAATACAATCTGAGAGCCCCAAGTAAATATAAACTTTTCTGCCTAACGAACAAAGAAACCAACAAACAAAAAAATACACCCAAACCCCCTAGTCACAATGACTAGACCCTGAGGCTCTTTGTGACCTCAGTGCGGGGAGTGAGGATGAGCTCCACTTGCCTTCTGAAGCTGAATATGGTCTCGTTTCTCTTCTACGAAAAAGTTAATGAGAGAGGGGAACAAAGGAGACAGGGAGCCAGAACCAGAGAAGCCCTCCCAGCACAGAAAATGGAAAGGACTGTGGTGTCTGAAGGAGAGCCAGCCACTCCTGATTCCTGCCTTCCGCATTGAGCAGTGTAGACAACACAGATTATCTGAGGGCTGCTGGATGAACGCTTTGCCTACATTTGAAGGCGGCGCCACCCTGAAGCAAAGGTTTTCCCCAACTAGTAGTGAAAGATGAGTCACCATGAATAGGACATTTAGTTAAACAGGATTTCTTCTAAATGGAACATCCCACTATCTTTATGGCAGAGGCTGTAGAAAATTTATCTGGTATCAGATGCCAGAGGAAAAAATATATCAAGAGGAGAGTTGGCTGGTTATAAGCTGTCTCTATCCTGTGTAAAAGTCAAGCACCCACATTTCCCGAAAAGTTAACATAGCTTAACGGAAACACTCAAACTTTTAACAGAGTCTCTGTCTAAATTGTGTCTTTCTTTACACAAGAAACAACAGTGCAGCCTCCGGGGAACTGGATAAGGAGAAGAAAAAAAGATCTTGTTCTTTTTCATTTCGGATCTTCTTTGTATTTAAGTTTTTTCACTGTGTGTATTTTACCACTTCTGTAATTAAAAGCTAGCTAAATTGTTGGCCATTGCCTGTATGTCTTGCCACCAGTTCCTCTGCTAACAGTCCTTGAGTTCGATTTTCTTATTTCTCCCCGCCCTGGCTAGGCTGTGTGAAAAGATCTCCAAGATACAACTTCACCTTCACAAATTTGGAAAAAGAAATATCTAGATTTTGCTGCTTAGGAGATGAATTCAGCAAAAAACAAAAACAAAAACAAAACAGGGGGGTTCAGGATACCACCAATACTGGAAAAACCCAGTATTTTTCAGCTTCAGACTGCTGTAGGAGATATGCTATTAGCCTGGAGGGACTCTAAAGTGTAGATGCTGAAGGATGGATGCATGCAATGAAAGGCTATTTGGTGAGGTTTTGGGGCCAAGGGCTCTTTACCAAATGGTGGAAAGGAGACCCATCATTTGGGTTACTGTTGGGGGGCGGAATTCCACTGCTTAGCACTCAGAAGACTGCCACAAAGATTCTACACTGGTCCTTCAATGACCTCCCTACAGTGGAAATCACAGGTAATGAAACAAATTGGCTCCAAATTGCTCTATGCTGGGGTGCCTGGGTGGCTCAGTCATTAAGCCTCCACCTTCAGCTCAGGTCATGATCCAGCCCCGCATCTGGCTCTCCCTCTCCCACTCCTCCTGCTTGTATTCCCTCTCTGTCACTCTCTGCCAAATAAATTTTAAAAATCTTTAAAAACAAAACAAATTGCCCTATGCATTAAATCAACGTTCCCCAAATTTGCATCTCATAAGGAAAAATTCGGTGCAACTGGTAATATTAAAATGGTCCTTTGCCCACCCAGGCGCCCCTAGGATTTGTTAAAGACCAGAATTTATCCACCAGGGGAATTTGCAGGGTTTAAGACACTTCAAAAGGGAGCACCTGGGTGGCTCAGTTGTTAAAACGTCTGCCTCCCACTCAGGTCATGATCTCAGGGTCCTGGGATTGAGCCCGCATGGGCTCCCTGCTCAGTGGGGAGTCTGCTTCCGCCTCTCTGCCCGCCTCTCTGCCTACTTGTGATCTCTCTCTGTGTGTCAAATAAATAAATAAAATCTTTTTTTTAAAAAAAAGTCACTTCAAAAGGAAAGCATAGTCAACCATTTGTCTAGGTCTCCACATGGGCAGTGTCACTTGAAGTAGGGGGCCAGGTGACCTCCTAGAGCCTCGCTCTGGTCAGCTTTTTGCTGCTAACTGGAAAGAGCCTAATGTTGCCTGACCAGTCCGCATGGCCGGGAGATTCCAACTAGCTTAGAGTACCAAAAATAAGCCAAAATAAGTACCCAAAATAAGTCAAGCTTATAGTTTTGATTCCAAACACACTTCGCGTTTATCCCTTCCAGGCGGGGGATTCTTACATAATTTAAGTGCGTAAAGGCCAAAGAAGAAAACTGGAGGCAAAGGAATGCAAGTTTAGGGTCAACAATAGGTAGCCTGCAATACTGAGCATGTTTAGCTTAAAAATAGATTTAAAGTAAAACATCATGATTCTCTAATCTAGAAGGAGTTCGGTCCGCCGGACGAAAACAGCTCTTCTGAGGTAGTAAGGCCGTGGGCAAAGGTTCTCTCGCACCCCCGGGGCTCACCTGGAGGCCAATGGGCCAGAGAGGCCGGGTGAGCGGTGAACTGAAAGAGGGGCGGGGAGAAAGGGATAAATAAACCTAGCGCGGCACGACAGGCGGTGGCACGGCCCTCCACCTTTTGACGGAACTGACCCAGGCGACCGCGAGCAGAGGCTCAGGTTCCAGATCCACGATTCCTCCTCCCAGCTCTAGGGGAGACCCCAAAGGCAGAAGCCAAAAACCGGGAGACTGAGCAGCATTCCCCTCAGCTAGGTTCTCTTGCCTCACTCCCCCGGCCCCAAGCCTGATCTGATCCCAAGCTCCCTCCCCACCATGCCGTGTTCCCTCCCCACACACCATCGGGGCTCCCCAGATTCCATATCTTCTTTCTTTCTGGACCTCATGCTTCATTCCTTACGATCACAGACTGGGATTCGTTACCTGCAGAGCGGCTCGACAACCCTGCAGGTAGTCCTCCATGGTGAAGTCCCAGGTGTGCCACCACCCCTGGCCGTGGAGAGGTTACCAGGCGAATGCGCCCTGCCCAGGGACTCAGGGGCTAGGGGCGAAAGTCAGGAGGCGGGACTCGAACCCGCCACACAGCTATTCGGCCCCAAGCCCCCGGAGGAAGTGCGTAATCTGGCACTCCTGGAGTGCGACGTCGCCCCGCCCACAGCGGCGGAGGCGGAGCTCTGCGCCCAAAGACTCACGGGACCCCCCTTCCCAGAGGCGCGAAGCGGGGCGTGGCGCAGGGCGTCCTGGGAAACGTAGTCCAGGAGTTCCGAAAAGGCCCCAAGAATGGAGGGAAGGAGAATTTTTTGAGATTACTCATTTGACAGAGAAATATATATGTGTCACAGTAACCTGTGTTTGTGGCATCTGAACTTTCACTCTCGAGTTAGGTTAAGTATAGCATATTTCCATATAGTACATCGAGCATCTGGTTGGCATCTTAAATTACAAAAGGCAGAAACAGTTCTTAGTCTTCCTTTCTCGAATTCTCTCTTTTACCATACTGACCCATTGCCGCCAATTTTCTGCTGTCCATGTTATAAAAACATTAGAATAATCTTTGACTCCTCTTCTTTACTTAATACCTACGGTCTCTGGCCAATTCCTGCTGCTACTTCCTTTACAACTCAGTAGCCTATTTGTCTATAGCCTCGGCAAATCTCTTTTCCTTTTCCCGGACCATTGTAACCTGGGTTTCTTTGCTCAAACTGCCCTTTCAGCCTTCAGAGTTGCTTGAAGTTTCATCCTGCCGCTGCCCTGTAAGTCAAGTTAGGAGGGCCCTTCAGAATGTAGAGCTGGGTTCCAACCTCCCTTAACTGCCAGCTTCCAGCCCCACGGTAGTGCAGAGTAGTGCAAAGAAGTATGCTGTCGTCATTAAATGCCCCCTCTCTTATTGATCCATCCCTTTATTTCTTACTGCCAGCTTTTCTGGCTCCCCTCTGTCCTGCCCCAAGAATTGGAAGGAGGTGACAGATGGGAAGCAGGCCTGTGCTGGTGGGAACAAGGACCAGAGCACAGGGGTTTTGGATCTCCTGCTTGTTCAGCTAGTTCTCTCCCTGCTGCCTCTCTTCCCAGAGCCTGAGGAGTCTTCCAAACTTTCTGTACCACAAGGGGCAGTTCTGCCTGACCAGATCCATTTCTAGACCAAAAAAAAAAAAAAAAAAAAAAAGAAGAAGAAGAAGAAGATGATACAGTAAGGGCTTGGAAAGTAGCAGGATTTTTTTTTTTTTAATTTTAAATGGGTAAATATGTAAATATCATGCTCTTTGGCCCTGCTTCTGTGGATCCAGAGCAAAAGCTTGCCATAGCCACCGAAAAAGCTCAAATCCACCCCGCCGCTGCTGTCCAGCCCTGCTCCTCCCCACGCTCTGCAAGGGCACTTGCTCTTCCCTATTCTCACCAGAGAGGCACAAGCGCACCGTCCCTTCCAGCGGCAGGCAGAGGGAAGAGAAAGGGTCTGTTGTTTTTCTCTCGTTGTTTCTCTCTCCCTCACTGCCGATCACCAAGCTGCTGACCAGGTCAGAAAGCCCTGATAGAAATTCTCCAGGGCTGGGCGGGCCCCTGCTCCTCCAGGGAGCTTGTCCTTGACTAATTTTTCTTTGTCCCAATGGGAAAAAAAGAGAGAGAGACATAAAAAAGAAAAACCACAAACTTCCTTTGAAAATCAGCTTGTAGTCAGGGCCTGGAGCGTATGCCCTAGACTCTGCAACTCAGGAATCCCGAAGACGCTCTGAGCGACCTGGGAGCACCTGGGCTGCCCTTCTGCCTGCCCGCACCCTCCTCTGGTGACCCCAGTCGTGGGCGTGAGTCCGGAAGTGGCCACCACCAAGCGGGGACAGCCGCTCATAAACCTGTGTAGACCTGGATAAGCTCTGGCCTTGACAGCTTGGAAGGCAGCTGGGACTGTGGAAGCACCCCTCCTTGGGGCTACCTTCCTCATCGAATTGCCACAACTGGACCCTCTTGCTCTATCCAGGAACAGCACCCACTTCTTTAAGGTAAAAACTTTGTTTTAACCATTTCCTTTATGCCACCCCTCCCCCCCACCTCCCACCAGGTTCTCGTTTTCCTCTGCAGCTCTGGGGAGGTGTCATGGAATGTCTCACCACTTTTTTGGTGCCTACAAGTCTGGATTTTGAGAGGAGCTAAGGCAGGAGGGATATGTAAAAGGGACTAGCTTGTCCCTTCATTTCCTTCGTTTAATGAAAACTTCCCTCTGTCGCTTGCAAGCAAATAGACAGGGCATGGTAGAGGTGATGGACTTATTTGGGGGCAAAATTTTAAACCAGGAGTTGCATGAAGATTTGGGTCATACTGAGAAGGAGATTGCAGTGGGAAAGTTCGTGGGGTGTGCGTGTGTTATTGAAGTACCCGCCCATTTTCTATGCTTCTTCCAACTTTTGGCTATTTACTGCCCCTGCGAGGGAGGGGCGAGGGCTATTTTAACTCCCTCGCCCACCGCCAGAGGATAATTTGGGCAGGAGAGAATGCGTGGGACTTAAGAAAAGAAGAGGAAGATAATGAAATCCTGATTTGTTTGAGTGCCCTCCCCCTCATCCTTTCCTGCTCTGACACACTTGTGCCCACCCCACAAGGAGTACACCTTGTAGAGTGGAAATCCTCCATTCCATCTCTTAAGACTTAGCCCACTGGGCTTTGCCCAGTTTCTCTGACACCCAACTCCCTCAGGTTTCTAGCCCCTGGTTTCTTTTGACTCACCCCCTCACCAGCTAGCTGCCTAACCCCCACTTAATTATTGATCATTTCTAGCATTGGACAGAAAAGATAAGAAATGAATGCTGCTTTTCTCCAAGCTCTTTTAACTTTCTCAGGCTCTGCTTGAAGGCTCAGCCTAACTGTCATTTGGGAGGGGAGGGGAAAGGCAGGTGAGAGAGTGAAAAAAAAGTGTAAGGTGTGCAGGCAATTTTGACTAGTCTGATTCTAAGTGAACAACATGTAAATGAGACACAGCTAGCATAAATTATATTTGAAGCAAAAAGAGGATCAATTTGGGTGACCAGCCTTCTTTTGGTAACTTTTCTTTCTTTTTCCTTAAAGATTTTATTTACTTATTGACAGAGAGAGAGAGAGAGAGAGAGAGCGAGCGCGGGCATAATCAGGAGGAGGGGCAGAGAGCAGACTCCACTGAGCAGGGAGCCCGATCCCAGGACCCTGAGATCATGACCAGAGCCGAAGGCAAACGCCCAACTGACTGAGTCCCCCAGACACCCCAAATTTCTGTCTTTCAACTTCACCTCCCAGGCCTTAACCTAGTCCTGAATTCCTGCCACTTTATAAGAAGGAAGCATAGTATCAGGTTAGTAGGACACTGGGGAAAAGACAAGATTTCTAACATCTAATTTCTCCCCTTTTCTAACCCCGAGTAAGGCAGGGAGGGGAGCTAGGAGGTTGAAGGAGGATGTTTCCCAGGGGACAGAGTTTATGGCTTTTTATTGTTTGTTACCCACAGCCTTAATTAAATGTCTGTGCTGGACTCGATGCTTAGTGCTGATAGAGAGCAGGTTAAACAGGTCCAGGGTTACATCTAAGATGACCTAGGTGGGACTAGACAGAAAGAACATACGGAGAGGTAGGGAGATGACAGTAGAGGGAGTATTTACTTTTTTTTTTTAAGTTTTTATTTTGATTCCGATTAGTTAACACACAGTACTATATTAGTTTCAGCTGTGTTGTATAGCAGTTCAGCACTTCCATACATCACCCAGTGCTCATCACGAGGGAGTATTTCTATACCTTTCTTTCTTTTCTTTTCTTTTCTTTTTTTTAAGGTTTTCTTATTTATTTTAGAGAGAGAGAATGCGAGTGGAGGGAAGGGGCAGAGGGAGAGGGAGAGGGAGAGAGAGAATCCACAGGCAGAACCCCCACTGAGCACAGAGCCCAACACAGACACACACAGGCTCGATCTCACAACCCTGAGATGGTGACCTGAGCCGAAGTCGAGTCCACCATCAAGAGTGGGCAGCCCAGGGACACCTGGGTGGTTCAGTTGGTTAAGCCACTGCCTTTGGCTCAGGTCATGATCATAGTATCCTGGGATCAAGTCCCACATCAGGCTCCTTGCTCAGTGGGGACCCTGCTTCTCTCTCCGCCTCCGCGCCTGCCGCTCTGCCTGCTTGTGCTCTCTCTCTCTCTCTCTGACAAATAAATAAATAAGATCTTAAAAAAAAAAAAAGAGAGTGGGCAGCCCAACCAACTGAGCCACCCAGGCACCCCTGTGAGTGAGTATTTCTTATGTAACTCAGTAATCAGCACTGTCACATTCCATATAAAGAGTGGGCAAGAGAGTATATCTGGGTTTAGTTGATTTGGGGAGCAGAGAGGAACTGAAGAGAAGTTGCTGCCTCAACTCCAGATGTGGAAAGTTTACTGTCAGAATTTGTTGGGGGTCTGGTTTTTGTGCCAAAATTATTTACCAGAGTCAGTCTCTGACCCAGGTCCCCGTGGCCTACATTTCCCCTCTTGGGCCCACAGGAAGTCCCTCCCAAAACCTTTTTGCTGTGGTTTGGGATTGTGTAAAGTTCAGTAAAGACCTGTGAGGAGAAAGACTTCTTTCTCACTGGTGTTTTATCTTTCAGGGCATGATACTGTCTGTCTTGTCTGTCTGTATCTCCGCTCTTCACCCTGAGCACTCAGTGACTGTTAATCTTTTCATCCTTGGGGTAGAGTGGAGAAAAGGGAACCCTAAGGATACCTGTTTGAGCTCTGGATGGCCCCTGAACAGCTTGGGGGCTGTGGTTTGGTGTAGGGTAGATGGAATGACTACCATCTTGGCTAAGATGGTAGATGACTCCTGTTACAGGGTGAGCTAAAGACCACTGAATTAATAACCATTTGTACAGCTAACCCTTGAATAACACAGGGGTTAGGGATGCTGACCATTCATACAGTTGAAAATCCATGTATAACTTTTGACTCCCCCCCAAACTGAACTAATCACCTACTGTTGACTGGAAGCCTTACCCAAAACACAGACAGTCAATTGATACACATTTTGTGTGTTGATGTATAACATATATTCTTCCAATATATTCTTCCAATAAAGTAAGCTAGAGAAAAGAAAATGTTATTAAGAAAATCAGGGGCACCTTGGTGGCTCAGTGGGTTAAAGCCTCTGCCTTCAGCTCAGGTCGGGCTCTCTGTTTAGCAGGAAGCCTGCTTCCTCCTCTCTCTCTCTGCCTGCCTCTTTGCCTACTTGTGATCTCTGTCAAATAAATAAATAAAATCTTTAAAAAAAAAAGAAAATCATAAGGAATACACCTGAAACTAATGTAAATTGTATGTCAACTATACTTCAACAAGAAAAAAGAAGAAAATCGTAAGGAAAATACATTTACATTTACAAAAGAAAACATTTCATATGTTTACTGAAAAAAAAAATCCATGTAGAGTGAACCTGCGTGGTTCAAACCCCTGTTGTTCAAGGATCAACTGTACAGTTTTAACATTTCTTTCTCTTTTTTCTTTCTGTCTTTCTACTTTATTTTCCCCTTTCTCTCCATCTTTTTTCCATTCCTTGTCCTTATCATTTCAGGGAAGCTGACTCCATCCAATGACTTCAATCCCACCAGAATCCTTCCTCCCAACCTGAAAGCCCTCGTCGGTCCCATGTGGTCACAGCCTGTGAGAGGTGAGGGGAGGTCAGGCTGGGGCCCTTCTGTTCACCCAGCTAAGAAAGACATGCACTCCCTGTAACCAGGAGTGACTGTGTAGATGCTATCTAGCCTTCCATACTATAGTCCTTTAACAAGACTTTTCTGGGTTCATTTGCTTTCCAGCCCAATGACTTCCTTCTTATTGGATCGGTCTCTTTTTTCCATACCAAGCTTACATTAGGCAACTCCCCGAGGGCAGGAAAGTCCTTTGGTGCCCCTCAATTGACCTCTTCTGACCATGGAACACCATCAAGCTGAGCTTCCAGACTCTGGTGAGGCCAAGATTCCAGAAGCAGTCAGCTCTGAGAACCAAGAGGTCCTCTCACAACCAGAGGAGCGGCCCCAAGACAAGGATGCCAGAGATGCTGATGGGACAGCTGAAGAACAGGAGCCTGTAGGCCAAGCTTCGCTGCTGGCCCAGGGCCAGGATAACCTTGAGTTCCCTCCACCTGATATGAGTTCAAGCCAACTGGAGCTGGCCCATGGGATACAGCCCGAGATAGAAACAGTGGGGGCCTGCTCCAGGCCCCAGGAGCTCCCCCTACCCCTCAGGGCCCGACAGCCTGAGCTGGATTTCTACTGTGTAAAGTGGATCCCCTGGAAAGGGGAACGGACACCTATCATCATGCAGAGCACTAACGGCCCTTGCCCTCTCCTTGCCATCATGAACATCCTCTTTCTTCAGTGGAAGGTAAGAGAGAATTTGGATGGGGGCTCAGAAATTGCTGAGGAAAGTTCTCTTCTGTGACCCACCTCCTTGATCATTCTGCTGTTCTCAGACCAGGCAAAACTTTCCAGATTATTCTCTGTATTTCTCTAGCTTGAACAAGTGAGATAAGATATTCATAAAAACAAGACAAAACAAAACAATTCTCTGTCCTACTCTCGAATCTTTCTACTGTCTCGCAAATGGGAATGTCTCGCAATCCTTCACATTCATTCCCTCACTGCAGTTGCAAGCCTTCTTTTCCACCACGCCCTCCCCTTCCCCCTGTCCTTCTGTGTGTTTCTCCTCCAGTGATCTGTGAAGGAAAACACACACATGCCTAACCCTTTGGTCACCACTTCTGCCTCCAGGTGAAGCTGCCCCCTCAGAAGGAAGTGATCACGTCAGATGAGCTCATGGCCCATCTTGGTGAGTGATTGGGTCTTGGAGAGGAATTACACAGAAGGTTCAAGAGCTTACCCTTTCCACTCAGCCAGAAATCCAGAATATTGAGGGACTTCCCATTTCGGGCTCTGATGTGGCAAGGAGGGTGAAGGTCTACAGGGCTTCTGTGCAAGGCTGGGGAATGAGAAGCAAAAATCAAGGCATCGGGAGTTGGGGATTGTAACCCTACTTCTACCCTGAGATTTTGATGTGACCTTGGGTGGGCCTTTCACCTTCGTCAGTCTACTTCTTGCTCTGAGAAGTGAAAGGTCTGGATTAGATTCTAAGGCTCTTTCCAGCTCTGAAAGTCTGTGGCCCATGACCGTTCTCCAGAAGAGGAAGCAGCTTTTGGGACAACTGGGGAAAGCTGATGAGGGATCCTGTCTTGTAGGAGACTGCCTCCTGTCCATCAAGCCCCAGGAGAAGTCAGAGGGACTTCAGCTTAATTTTCAGCAGGTGAGGCAAAGGTCTCGGGGCACAGGAATTTGCAGGTTTGTAAGGGGACATGTAGGCTACAAAGAGAAGCCTTTCTTTTGCTTCTCAAGAAGGCCCCTTAACTATGATTTCTTTCTGCAGGAGGAGGAAGCTATATCTCTGTCCTAGAAAATATGTTCCCTTATATAAGATAAAGAAGGGTTGAGGCAAGGGAGGAATGGCATGGCCTGTAAGAGAACCAGGGAAAAGAAGCAACAGGATTAATTTTTTTATTTGTGGAGCTAGGAGTCAGGAGAGGGGAGGCTAGGGTAGCCATCATTTTATCCCCCCCACAGCTTTATTGGGACATAACTGGCATATAAGACTGTGGAAGCTGAAGGTGTATATAACGTTTTGATGTGATACAGGTATCATTTTCTTTTCTAACCCCAGAACGTGGACGATGCAATGACAGTGTTGCCTAAACTGGCCACGGGTCTGGATGTCAACGTGCGATTCACAGGGGTCTCTGACTTTGAATACACTCCTGAGTGCAGCATCTTTGACCTCCTGGGTATACCTCTGTACCATGGCTGGCTTGTTGACCCACAGGTGAGGGTGGGATGGCTCAAATGAGACTCGCATCCGGCTCAAAGCGAGATAGACAAGCAAAATTTTACGGGGTGGGTGTTAGGGAGTTAGGGGTTAGATTGGCTTGGGAATGGAATAGGCTTCAGAGGCTGGACCCAGTGCAGAATTCCTTGAATTTTAACCTTTTGGTGGGGGGTGGTGAACATTCAAATACAGGCAAACCGTATGCAAGTAGGTCAGTTCTTTGGAAATGAAAAGTTTCAGGAACCTTTGGTTGTAGGGTTGCAATCCTGTGGGCGGGCTTCATTTCCTTCCTAAAAAGATCTTCGTTGTTTTGGTACCACCCCATGCCACCGCCGGTGCAGAGTCCTGAGGCTGTGAGCGCAGTTGGGAAACTGAGTTACAACCAGCTGGTGGAGAAGATCATTACCTGCAAGCACTCTAGAGATACCAACCTTGTGACAGAAGGTGACAGCCCTGCTCTCTCTTCTGTGGATCTTAGGTGGAGGGAATGATGGCTGCCTACGTTTATTGCTTATCATCTGTCTCCCCCCACTGCATCCCCCTAGAATGGAAACCCCATGAGAGAGAGTTTGGGAGGGGCGCCTGGGTGGTCAGTGGTTAGATATCTCCTTTCAGCTCAGGTCAGGATCCCAGGATTCTGGGATTGAGCTCTGCCTGGGGCTCCCTGCACAGCAGGAAGCCTGCTGCTCCCTCTCCCACTCCCCCTGCTTGTGTGTTTTCTCTCTCTCTGCCAAATAAATAAATAAAATATAAAAACAAAAAAAAGAGAGAGAGAGAGAGTTTGGGGAATTGGCTGTTGTGTTCAGGACGTAGCACAAGGTGGTCGCTCAGTAACTATTTGTTGAATGAATGAATACAGCCAGGATTCAAGGGATTTCAGAAAGTGGGACTATCCACAGAGCTCTGACAGGGACTCTCTGGGTGATCCTTCTTCCTACTGGGGACTTTGGATTGAAGCCAAGCCCCTCGTCCCCCAACCTTATGCCCTCTGACAGGCCTGATTGCGGAGCAGTTCCTGGAGACCACTGCAGCACAGCTGACCTACCACGGACTGTGTGAACTAACAGCAGCTGCCAAAGAGGGTGAACTTGGTGTCTTTTTCCGAAACAACCACTTCAGCACCATGACTAAGCACAAGGTGATGAGGCTTTGGAGAGGGGGGTGGGGGTGGAGTGCTGTCACTGCCTCGTGGTTTCTTCTTCCGGGTCAGTGTGTCAGACAGGATAGGGTAGATTAAATTCAGGTGACAAATCACCCCCAAAATCCCTGTGCTTTACCACAGCCAAAGTTATTCTTCATGCTGGATGGCCATTGTGGATTGGCTGCCATTCTGTCCCACATTGTCTTCGCTCTGGGACCCAGGCTGACAAAACAGCCTTAATCTGGAATATGGGAGGGAAGAGAGGGGGAGGGACACCGTGCACCCGCTTTTAACGCTTCTGTCTAGAGACAAAACCTGTCGTTTCTCCTACCTTCTCACTGGCCACAGCAAGCCCTAAGAAATCAGCCTACCCTCTACAGGACAGCAAAGTAAAGTCCTCTCCCCAGAAGGGAATGGAAGTACATGGAAGAGGGAGAGATTTTTGGCTCGCAAAGGATTTCTCCTCAGAGCCATCAGGCCAGCCCAGAGAGCCACTGGAAGTAGGGTAGACAGCAGCATCTTGTGTGGGACCCCAGCACCGAGGACTCACACTTAGACCACAGGGACTGCCACACTCCACGCCCCACCCCCAAGCCGATGGCACATGCATAGACATCTGTGCTTTCTCCCCGCAGCCATACGTGTGAAGGATGCGTGTGCTCACAGCGACACGCTCTAACTAGCACACCAGATGAGTCAAATGGTCTTTGCATCTCAACTGATTCCTGGTAGTAAAGTGCCTCTGGGTCGGCTCTCCCGCCAACGAGTTCGTCCTCTTCTCTGCAGAGTCACTTGTACCTACTGGTCACCGACCAGGGCTTTCTGCAGGAGGAGCAGGTGGTGTGGGAGAGCCTGCACACCGTCGACGGAGACAGCTGCTTCTGCGACTCTGACTTCCACCTGAATCACTCCCTCGGCAGGGGCCCTGGAGCAGGGGGTGGCAGGGGCTCCCCTGAAAAGCAGCGCCAGGTAGACCAGGTATGTGGGCTCTTTGGGAAGGGGCGCGGAGAGCTAGTCTGCTCACGAGCTCTTTGCTGGAGGCGAGTAAGATGCGATTCCTCCTGTAGATGTCACGACCCACAAAACCCGTGCCCCCTCACAGTCACCTCTGGACCACCTCTGCACTTGGAGCAGTGTGTTCTCAGTCCCCACAGATGATGTACTTGGCTGTGGGTCTTGCCCTGGAGGGGGAGCTGGTGAATGTGAAGGAGAAGCAAGACGGGTTTGGAAACCTAAAGCCGGGCTGAACGTCCCCCAGGCCGCAGCCACCTCACTGCTTCTGCTCTCTCGGCCTCTTTCTAGGACTACCTGATCGCCTTGTCCCTGCAGCAGCAGCCGCAGGGCACGCTGGGTCTTAGTGACTTGGAGCTGGCCCAGCAGCTTCAGCAAGAGGAGTACCAGCAGCAAGCAGCCGTGTTGCCCGCGCCAGTGCGGGCCTCACCACAGGTGAGCAGCTGCCCCCAAAGGCCCTGAACCCCACTCTGCTCCTTCCCGCAGTGCCAACACTTGTCCTTGCAAATCCTGCACTTGTCTCTTTAAGGGGTTCCTCCCCCCAGGGTCCCATCTTCTCTCTCCCCACCGACCCCTCCTGATCCTGCCCCCAGGACCTTCTAGAACCTCTGTCCTTGTACTCTTCTGGGCTGACAAGTAACCCACTGTTAAATCCCATACAGGGGAGAGGAGCCACGTCTGGTCGCCCAGTCGGGGAGCGTCGACAGAGGCCCAAACAAGAGTCAGATTGTGTCCTCCTGTAGCTTTGCCCAGTGCTGGGGCTGCCCTGCCTCTTTCTCGGAGGCCATGGCTGTGCTGCTTGCTTCCCCCAGCTCCACCCCTGAGATATGCAGGGTAACTTATTTATGGACTATGGGGGATCCAAGCAGGTGGTCAATGCCAAGGTCAGACTCGGTAACATCTTGCCCTCCTGTGCTGCTGCTTTCTCTGCCTCCCAGTCATCCGGGGCAACACTGGGGTTGGTGGGGTGAGGATTTCTGGTTGCCAGCTCCCCTTTCCCAGAACAGTCACACCCACAGACAGACTCAGGCTCCAGGGTGAGGTCCCTGTCTAGAATGCACCTCCCCTGGCCAGGCCCTCCTGCCGATCCTGCTGGCCTGTCTCCAGTTGTTTCAGGGTTTGGTTTGGGTTTCTATCTCCATTATTTGTAATGCTTTCCTAGGGGTTTGGAAATAAAACTTCGTTCCTGAGATCTCTTGTTTGCCTTGCCCTGTGGCTCTTGGGGTTAAGTATTTGACCCAATTAAGGAATGCAAAAAGGTGGGGGAGGTTATAGAGGCCTGCAGGGGGGCTTTGCTTGTCATTCCTAATAGGGCCAGCAGGGGGAACCAAAGCCTGCTTCTTTTCTTTTATGTCTCTTTTTACTAGTTTTTGGTAGGTCTTCAAAATGGTAATCTGGTTTGGGAGGTGGGTTTCCAAGTCCCTGTTTTGGACAGATAAAGTTTGGGGGTTGTGCTCCCTGCTAACCTAAGATTTCCCAGGCAGGGGAGGGCAGATTGATCAGATGGTCCTTTGCTACCTCTATTTCTGACCTTATTCTGGCTCCTGTTTCTCAGTTACTTTGCCTGAAATTTCCTGGGGAAGAGAGAATAATTGAGGGGTGGGGGGAACCTTGAGGGGGGCACTTATTGCAGCCCTAGAGCCTCAAACAGGATGCCTGCGGAATATCCAAGTGCATATCAAAGGCACCTCCAGCTTCAAGGTCTCCTCCCAGCCCATGTCCTGCTCCACCCAGACTTCAATCAGGGAACACAAACAACAGTGAAGTTTGCCAAAAGAATTCAAGAAATCAGTGAGATGTTCTGGCCTGGGTATGGGAAGGATGAGTAGGGAAGAAATCATCAAAGAGCTGTCTATACCCAAGACAGAGATGGGGTACGCTGGTGCAGGGACCACTTTGAGATGAGGAAACCAAGGGATTCAAAAGAAACTTCAGATTCTAGCCTCAACAAGAAGCTGGAGCATGTGGTGCTCAGTGAGGGGTTATCCTATTTGGAGGTCCAGCTGATTTCCTGCAGGCTCAGCCAAACACAGCACTCTCAGATCCTCGGATGTCATGGTGTGGTAGGGAGGGCAGGAGCCCAGGGAGGCCTCAGAGGTCTTCGGCCCTGCACAGGGCTAGTAGGGCTGACCGGCAGTCCCCTTTCACTGCTTCCTACAGAAAAGAGAGTCAAGTGTTAGATCCCACTACCACCATGGCCCAGGCATTCTGTTTCCTCCGTTGTGCTGGTCCACAACTATTTGATGTCAAGAGTTGTGTATGAAATTAACCAAAGACTCATGAGTTCTCCAGGGCATGAACATGCTAGGTGGTGTGCACGGAGGGCAGAGTGGAGGTGAGGGGTGAAGCTTTGGGGCTCTAGGTTAAGAACTAGCCAAGTCTCACCTGGAGAGAAGAGTAGAGGGACTTGCCAAATTTCTTTTTGAACTCAGCTCTGATGCTTAGAAGGTCAGTCTCACTTCGAGAGATAAGGATACGCATTAGGACTTGGTAATTGGGCTTGAGGTTCTGGTAGAGGGAGAAACAAGGAGGAGAGGGTGATAGGTAGTTAGATTCTCAGAGTGGAGACAGGACAGCATGGTAAATTACTCTAGAAAGGGGAAGTGAGGTATGAGTCCTGGCAAAAGAGAAGTGTACTTTATGTAAGAGGAAAATTTATCCTTGTCCACCCTCATGGAAGGTGATTCAGTGGGAAAGACCAGTGGGAGCAGCTGGGGTAGCTCTCCCTCTGGCCTCCTGTCTTTCCTGGCCATGCCACTAGCTTAGAGCCTCATTCCTCCAGATCTCAGTGGTGGGCGGCTCCAAAGTCAGCTACTCACAAAAAGGATAGGAGAAACTTGCTACCTATAAAGACTTCCAGCATGAAAGCCAGGAAGTTTTTAACTTCCAAGTTAGTGAATGTCCAGGGACGATATACCCAGCCTATCCCCACACTGAGCAGATGGAGCTCTGAGAAGGTGCAGGGTCATGTGACTTATGGTTCTGAGCCTGACCTACCAGGGCCACCCCACGGCCCCACCTGTATACACCAGTTTCTCCTGGTTTGACCCCTGGGGCCCAACATCCCGGTCTTCCTCCTAAACCTGCACCAAGCCTCCCGCCTTTTGGTTAAAGAAGGTAATGCAGGGTTTGGCTTAGAAGAGGTATAATATGTGAGTTATAATTGTAAATCATGAATTATAATTGATTAGATCAAATCATGAATGCTAACGGATCATAATAAATGTGTTATCATGAGAGATTTCTAAATAAAAACGTTGGTTGCAAAAATTCTATTTATGTCATGGGCTGGGCGCTGGCGCTGTCACAATTTCCTAATAGCTTCTTTCCCAGCGTTTCCTGTTACTTGACTCACGAGACCCTTCCCAGAACTGCCTGATACCCACACTTCTGGCATCTACACAGATCATAAATTCCCATTAAAAAAAAAAAAAAGGAAAATGAGGAAGTAACAACAGGATGCTGTATTTCATTTGGACTCATTACCTCATTGTCTGTGCTGATGTCTGCTTTATCTTAAATTTCATGTATTATCAATTTTGAATTGTGATAAAGATTATTGATGGCTCCCCAATATTCCGTTCTTTCCCTTCTTCCAACTCTTATTACTTCAAAATCATAGAATTGAGGCAATGTCCTCACTAACTGAATATTCTTACTGATGCATAAGTACCCTTTCTAGCAAGCCTACATTAAACATAATTCTTGCCTTGTTCCTTGAGAATGTACTTGGCATCTTATACTTCCCTGGGAACTTTTAACAAGCATTCATTCTTTGGTTCAGACTGGTCCAAATTTTCCTAGATCGGCTTCCACTGAAGGTCATTTTTCTGAGTAAATATTTGTCACAACGTATGTTTTCACATATTTCTCATGAGAGGATAAAACTGAAGCATATGATTGAGTTTTTCCTTTTTAAAAAAAGTCTTCAGAAAAATAGGCCTATATTATTTTTTGACTCCTACTTCTAGGATAAACCTGGCATTGACAACCAAGAGCGTGGGTCTTACAATCCAATTATATTATAATCACTTACTGCTGGGATATAAGTTTATTGATGACAGGAATTTAGACAGATAACCACAACTCTTCAAACCAGTCTTAGTGTTGGCTTGGTGTAACAGTACAGACATTATTGGGGAAGTAAAATATTTTTCTACTGTCAAAATGGAAATCTCCATTGATGATAAAATATGTACATATATCTACTATCTTTTGAATAATTGCCAATAAGGCATGGTGATTTCTCACTCAGTACACAAGAAGCTATGCACCTACCAAAATGATAATTACTTTTATCTTTACAACTTGGATGATTTTTTTTTATTTATAGATGTTGGGGGACAGTTGCACTAATAGGAGGCCTCACCCAGTGAGTAGAATGACTAGATTCTGTGTATGGAATTACTTAAAACCAACGTCACCAATTTAAGTGTGGATAATATGGGACAAAGTCCAACTATTGTGGAGGAAGGTGGTCCTGGGTGCTAGGACTCTAATGGTATAGTTTATACTATAGTATAAACCAACACCTATGGTACAGACCAGGAGTTGACACATGGCAGTTCAATGTCCTATAGGACCATTATATGTGTGTGGTTTTTAATTATTTTTAAATTCCAGCATAAATAACATATCATGTTATAATAGCCATTATATGTTTTATAGGAGGCCTATATTTATTAGCTATATATGACCTTGGGCAAAGAACTTAACCTCTGTACCTCAGTTGTTTCATCTATTAATTGGAATGTGTATAACAAGCCCAACATAGGCCCTGGGACACAATGAGCAGCCAAGAAATGCTGGCTCTTGTCATAATTCTTGCTAGCATTGTCACCATTATTACTCTGGTGACAACTGAAATTGGACTTGGTGCTGTCCTCCAGAGCAAATTCATACCTATAGCTGGCCACCTAGCTATCAATTAGGCCCAAATTTTGGCATCAGTGCCCTTTTGAGTCAAACTCTTTTAGCTTTAACGACGGTCCACACCTGCCTCTCTTCTTCACAAGACAGCAAGCCTAGGAAAAGAGAGCTGCTCTATGTTTATAAGCTAAATAGAAGGTTGTTACATGACCAACAGCGTGAAACTTCCTCTCTCTTGCCCAGAAGAGGTCTCCCCCCAGTTTTTGTTCCAAGGGGAGGGAAAAGAAACCTCCCTCTCACCTGGAGGGCTTGATGAAGTTTATCGGCAAAGTACAGCGGTGTGTTCCTGATCACCGAGACTGGAAGCAGAGAGGGAGAGATGGAGAGAGCTGGCTTCTGAGCCAGGCGAGAGCCCTACCCCTCATGTGCTCAGCAGGCCCTACCTAGGCTGAGCAGGGCCGCCTGAGCATCTCCGTGGAAGAGGTGGTGGACGGTCTTCTCTAGCTCATGGCCAGTACACCGCTGGTACTGATCGAACACTTGTGGTAGGTGTGGGAGGTAGTTAGAAAGATAAATGGGAGCGGAGATTGATAATCACAGAGAAGGATAAGCCCTTGGCCCAAACTCATCATTACAGTAAGCTGGGAAGACAAGAAGTCTTGTGTGTACCTCGGACGAGGTGTTCAGGATTTCGCTGGGTGAAGATTAGGACCCATGTGCCCTCTGTGCTGGGCCCTTCAGCCTGCTTTAATGCCTGGGAGGGAGGAGTAAACCGGGATCATTGGTTGGGGGTAAGGGAGCCACGGTTGTGATGTTCCCAGAATCCATCATCATGGTGGTGGAAATGGGATTCAGAGTGGAAAAGCTTAATGGGACCTGTGAAGCTATTGCTTCTATTTATGGTTAAAACAGACAAACAAAAAAGGAATAGGGCTAAGAGAGGGACTCTGCCCTCACAGCTCAATTCCCCAATGTGGGGGAAATCCTGGCACTCAATTAATTAAATAATCTCCAAGGGAAGTTCTGAGGAGGGGTCCCCCACCCAGATGCCCCTGAGAGGAGACTGTGTCAGTTGAGGAGCTCACTTCCTGTGAGTTCAGGAATCAGAGGCTAAGTAAGTGAACGGGCTTCAGATGGTCACTAATTGACACTTCATGTCCTCACCTGTCCCTGAGGACTCCTTCCCCAAGGCAAAGAGAGGTTTGCAGGACAAGCGGGTACACCTGTCCCTGGCTCTAGGAGCCACTGGAGGAGGGTGTCTTATGTGCACGGCCAGGCAAGCTCTTTGCCCCTGCTCACCTGGACATCCTGTTCCACCAGGTTATAGTCGATGATTCCAGAGTAGCTCTCGCGACCCCCCTAGAAGAAACTCTCTCAGGAGGACTCTCTGAGGGGGGGGGGTTTACCTCCAGGACAACCTACCACACTCCTCCCCTAAAAACCTTCTCTTGCTAATTATACCCAAGCAATGCTGCCCGCTCCCCTGCAGGCCAGTCCTCCTCACCTTGGCCAGGGCCAGGAGCAGTTCCTGCAAGATGCCGCTGGTCTCAGATTTGATGTCCTTCTCAGCCTCCACCTGGAAATCTGGGGTAGGGTTAGGAGCTCTCTGAAGTCTCCTGATTTTTCCCAGTGTAGCTATTCCCTGTCATATGCCCAGCCCACTGCCTACACTGCCATCTCTGGCTGGGGGTAGCTTGATGGCTGCCAGTTCCCAGGATGGAAGGCAGAAGCACCATCATGGCCACCCTGAAAACAGCCCGAAGCCATGAGTAACCATGCGCTGTAGGGTCATGCATCAAGCGGGGACAACCTGCTTGGGGAAGGAGGCCTTTGTTATTTGAGTGGTAGGCAGGCAGTCAGCAGGGACAGGGACACCTCCATTGTGAGGCCAGTTGGCTAGGGCCTGGCCCCCTCACTGGAGGCAAGGAGAAGCGACGTGGAAGGACGTGAAGAAGCGAAAGAAAAAGAAGAAGGAAAAGAAAACCAGAAGCAAGAAGTGAGAGGTAGGAGATAGATTAAGACAGGCTGAGAATGGACACAAAGGAAAACTGGGGAAAGAAAAAAAAGAGGGGGGGTGTTCAGATGCGGAGGAGAGAAGGCCAGTAAGCAATTAGTGGCTGAGGCATGTGGCAGTCAAGCAGGGGCCTGAGGGGGAGTACCGATAACTTAGAGAGCAGGTTCCCCACCCTCCCCCCAGGGTTGCAGCAAGGTTCCATTCAGCCTGGGATGTGGTGTGAGGGCAAAATCAGGAAGGGGCTGGGAAGATGACATGGGTACTCTCAGGACTGTCACAGTGCCCAAAGTTGTCATTACCTTGGAATCTGCCCCAGAGCCCCCGACTAAGATGGCTAATCATTGCTTCTCTTTCTTTAATGATCACATCTGGCTCTTGCCTTGGGGAGACTGAATACTGGCAAGGGTGGGTGGGGGGTGAGACCCCAAGGGAATAGCGCTGGGGCATACAGGTTCCCAGAAGGCTTGCCTGTAGGGAGGGCAGGAGAGCAGGGGCTGTCTTGCCATCCCTTTCCCCCCTCCTCATATGCTCTTACTATGTTTGTAGACCATCAGGCACTCCTGCAGCTGGGCTGGGCTTCGGGTGGCAAGAATTTCCACAGCCACATCCTCAGGAGAACCAGAGCTCTACAAGAAATTGGGAGGCCACTTTGACACTGGGCCATGCCATGAGGATGGTAGAGAGCAGAGGCTGACCACCTGTCAGTGTGGGCTGTATAAAGGGGACCCCTGCCAAGTCAACTTTCTGGAGCAGGCAAAGGCAAGTCGGTCAACCCTCTCCTCCCCTCAGTGGTGTCCTCACTTCCTTGATGGCTAGTGAGCTTCCACTCCTGGTACCTTCAAGGCTATCCTCAATTCCTGGGCATCGAACTGGGTGGCAGGCTGCAGCAAAGCCATCACGATCCTCTCGAGGCTGCCAGAGAGTGCCGCCTGCAGGGACTTCCATAGGTCCTACAATGAATGGTCCCCATAGCAGAGGAGTGGAAACCATGGGGAGGGCCCCGGATGTGTGGGGATCTCTGGGGAGATCTGGCGGGCTGCCGTTGGCTGTACTCCACGTCTTCTAGGGGGCTGCTCACCCCAGTCTGCTGCTCCTGGGAAGCCAGTGGCCTCACCTGTTGGGTGCGCTCCTGGAAGGCTCGAGAGATGAGCTGCCTTTGCTCTCTGCTCCTATTGGTCAGTACATCCACGATGGCACTGTGGTCCACACCTGAACAGAGATGAGGGCTGGGCTATCAGCTGGGCAGAAGCCAACAGAGTCTATACAGGGCAGGGATCCCCTTCCTCCCAGACTCGAAGCCTCCAGAGGAGGAGAGAAGGCGATCCAGGAAAGGGCTGTGAACAGCAGGGGTTGCAACACCTCCACTTCCATTTGGCCTCAAAAGAAGATGCAGGGCTGCCTGGGGGTCTCAGCTGGAACTCTTGATTTCAGCTCAGGTCACAGTCTCAGAGTCATGGGCTCTGTGCTCAGCAGAAGTCTGCTTAAGATTCTCCCCCTCTGCCCCTCCCTTCATCGCTCCTGAGCGTGCTCTCTCTCTCTCTCAAAATGAAAAAAAAAAAAAAAAAATTAAAAAAGAAGACCCAAATAAGATGCCAAAATGGCATGTGAACCTGGCCCAAAATTAGGTGAAGTTGACCTGGTGTGGTGGGGGAGAAATGGCTTGGTGATCATAGACTTAGATTAGAACCCCAGCCCTGCCATTATGAGCTGTGTGACCTTGGGCCAGCCTCTTTGTCTCACCAAGCCTGTTTCCTCACCTGTAAAATGGAAATAAGACTTACCTCACAAGGGTGTCCTGAGAATGGGAATGACATACCTACCATGGTACTTGACACACAAGAATTAAGGCATTCCACAAACATTTACTGAACAACATCACTTCCTCCTTCCTTCTCGGTCTGCAGACTGGTTTCTAAAAGGTGGATCCCCAGGGGCAGAGGGAAAAGGGCTCACCTTGGCCTGCAATGGCCCTCAGCAGCCTTTGCACGTCTTTGTCCACGCTGAAGCTCAAGAAGGTCCTGAGGGTGCCCAGGGTTCCCCAAGCTGCAGTCTGTAAGAGCATGAGGGGTGGGGGTAGGAGGGAACATCACATGTCTGCACACGCCTGCCCCAGTGCCTCAGCAGGGCCCTTGGCCTGCTCTCAGGGCCCGCTCTCCCTTTTCCCATCCCCTATTCTCTCACAGCCCTGGAGTTGATATAGTAACAATGATTCTGATGATCACAGTCCCTACCTTGTTGGCCAGGCCCAGGTGGCTGAGGATCTCCTGGGTCAGGGATGGTCTTGTCTTCCCGCTGGTTACAGACATGGTATGACTGGCTGTCCCAGGGAGGGAAACAGGAGCGAACTGTGGAGAATTTCCTGGCCCTTTGGGCCTCTTTATGACCCCCAGACCCCTGAGGCCTATGTCCCATGCTGTTCCTTTCCCATGTTGCAGAAAGAAAATAAACATCGACCAGCTTGGCAGGTTTGGGAGCCCAAATGGAGGGGTAAATGGAAGTCCCCATCTTCCCTATCTCTCACCCCTCCTTCAGGAAGCAAGGATTGATCAGGAATGCTGCTAGAATAAGCACCAAACAAACCCTCCCTGACTCCAGGGTGGGTCCCAAGTCTTCCAAACTTTGATCTCAGGGGGATGACCCCCTTCTGAGATCCACGTCCCTTCCTTCTGGTGGTCTGGCTAGGGATTCCTGAGGCGGTGCAGGGGAGGTGAGGTGATGTGGCTGGATGAAGTGTGTGGGGTGGGAGATAGTAACTCCGAAAACACCCACCCCCCTTCAGCCCCGGCCTGGGAGTAAGTAAGCTCCTGTCCCCCTGCCCACCAGGCTGCCTACCTCTTGCCGGCCTTTCCCCCTCAGAGTCTCTGACAGTGACCTTCAGCTCAGCAGGTGGGACTCCGGGGCTGATGTACGTGTTCCTTTGGGTGCATGGGTGCCTAGACAAGGGAGCAAGCCCTCACCTTAGAAAAAGAAAACTCCTTTCTCCGTCTCCCAAGGGATCCACAAGCTTTCCCTCCTCCCTTCCCCCACGAGGGCCCAGGGCCAACGCTTACCCAGAGGTGCTGGGGGTGAGGTGGCCGCTGTCACAGCCTGGCAGCTGCGGGTGTGGGCACCAGCTTCTGCGTGGTCTGCTAGAGGAGAGGGGGCGTGTGCAGCCTGGGCTGGGCAGCCAGTCAGATGACCTCTCTAGCAGCCCCGCCCAGCTGTCATCTCCCGCCCCCGGCCCCTCCCAAATGTGGGAGAGGACAAGGCCCTACCTGGTTCCACAGGCAAACCCCTCCCTACCAAGCATCTTTCCTCCCCGGAGCGGGGCCTCAGCCCCTGGAGAGAATTCTCCTAAGCCATTGGGCGCTCAGTGGGACACAAGGGGCTTTGTGCGTCGCTTTCCCCGTGGGGCCAGGTGGGACCACAGAAGCCCAGTCTTTGAGTCCAGCTTCTGACCTGGCTCTGCCTCTGGCCCCAGCTCCCTGGGGGGACAGGTCAGACAGGCTCCAGGCTGATTTAGAGGCTGATAGAGAAAAACCTGTTGGGGCACATACCAGCGGGACACCCCAGCCTGCACCCCCCAGAGGGGGTCTTAACCCCCAAACTCCCTATTACCTTATTAGAGCCAGCCAGCCTGGGTGGGAAGGGCAGGGGGACTGTTTGGATCTGTGGGGAAGAAAGAGAGCAGGTATTTGAGAGTGGGAGCAGATCAGCAGAGTCACGAGAGAAAAATGCAAAGGGTGTTCCCTGTGGACAGAAGCATCATGGTCCCAAAAGGCGACAGGGAGATGGAAGAGGCTCCCTGGGTTCCTGTGTCTTAGATTCCTTCTGGTGCCTTTTGGCTGCAATGCAACCGCAGCAGCTAAGCTTGGGGCTGTCAGTGCACAGAGTAGCCGCTGAACGGCCCTGGGGAGCCCAGGGAGCCCCTGAGCAGGCAGTCACTTGATCCCCATAGCCAGCTCCCTGGGACCTAGAAGCTGTCTCCTTCCTGCTTCCCTAGAGAGGTTGGGTGGGGACTGGGCACAGAAGCTGGAGGGCTGTTCTCACTCCTCTGTCCCTCTCCCCACCAAGGAAGGCCCTTGTTGGTTCTCTTACATCCCTGAGGAGGGATCTGCCTCTCTTCCACAGAGCAGACCAGACCTCAGAATGCATGAAGGGAAATTTCCTGGGTGGCAGTCACTGCTTCTCACTTTGTGTCCTGTTAAAGTGGAAAACATCCACCAATTTTTGCCATGAGAATGTGGGTTCAAGGCCCAGCTCTGCAGCTTTTTCTGTTCTGTAATCCCAGCTAGTCATTTCAGGTCTCTGTGTCTATTTCTTTACCGGAGAAAAAATGGGACAGTTGGAAGAGGCTGAAGTGTGTGGAGAGGGCATCCTGGGCACCTGAGAACAGCCTTCCTGGGAGGATTGAATTATGTAATATATGTGACTGCATTTGGCAGAGAAAAATGCCTTTGAAAATAAGTCTGCTAGATTTAATAAATAAAAATACAGGACACCCAGTTAAATTAGAATTTCAGGTAAACAACAAATAATTTGTTGGTATTAAGTATGACCCAACTTTTTCATGGGATATACTTAGGATAGCAATCATTTGTTGTTTATCTGAAACTGTGATTTAACTGAGCATCCTGTAATTTACCTGGCAACTTGGAAGATGGGACTCAGTTTCAGCATGGTGATTAAAAGCAAAGGTTCTGGAGCCAGACTTCTTGAACTCAGAATTCCGGTCTGCTATGTGACCTTAGCAATTATCTCAACTTTTCTTTCTTCTTTTAAAAACTTTTAAATATATTTTATATATTATTTTATATTTTATTTATCGATCAGACAGAGAGAGAGAGAGAGAACAAGCAGGGGGAGCAGCAGAGGGCAAAGCTGACTCCCCACGGAGTAGGAAGAGTCTGATGCGGGGCTCAATCCCAGGACCCTGGGACCATGACCTGAGCCAAAGGCAGATACTTAACCGATTGAGCTACCCAGTTATCCCTACCTCAACCTTTCTGTGCTCAATTTCCTCATCTTCAAAGCAGAGGTAATAATAGTGTTTATATTATAAGCTATTGTGAGAATTAAATAAATTAATACATGTAGAGCACTTTATTTATTTATTTATTTATTTTTAAAAGATTTTATTTATTTCTTTGACAGAGAGAGATCACAAGCAGGCAAAGAGGCAGGCAGAGAGAGAGGAGGAAGCAGTCTCCCCGCTGAGCAGAGAGCCCGATGTGGGGCTCGATCCCAGGACCCCGGGATCATGACCTGAGCCAAAGGCAGAGGCTTTAACCCACTGAGCCACCCAGGCGCCCCTATTTTTTTTATTTTTAAAAAGATTTTTATTTATTTATTTGACAGAGAGAGACACAGCGATAGAAGGAACACAAGCAGAGGGAGTGGGAGAGAGAAAGGTAGGCTCCCCTCTGAGCGAGGAGTCCTATGTGGGGCTGGAACCCAGGACCCAGGATCCAGAATCATGACCTGAGCCAAAAGCAGATGGTTAACCAACTGAGCCACCCAGGCAACAATTTAAAAAAGAGCTCTGCACAGACTAGCAAGTCCACATTGCAAAATGTTAACTTATATGTAACAATAAATATTGATATAATGTTATTTTATAATGATAACTGTTACTGTTAACTTGTCTCCCTGTGGAGTCCAGTCTTGGCTCTGTTCTGCAACTTCTATCTTGCCAATCTTCAATCTGGCCACAGGAGGGCATTAGAAGCCACCGAGAGTCGAGAGCCCCCTAGTGGCCACTTGAGGTCTCGAAGGCTTTGGCTCCACCCACAGATGTCCCCGGGCTCTTTTGGCGCACTTGTTAGAAAGTGCAGTCTCCGGAGGACGTCAGGTCCTAGGTGGAGTTGGCGGGCAGGCATGGTCAGCAGAAGAGCCCCAAGGAGACACCTACTCAAGGGCCCCCCACCCCACCCCCGAGACCTCAAGACACTTGCAGGAGACTTCCTAGGCTGGGTTACGCCAATAGTTTGTCTTCGTAGCCCCAGTCCCATGCCTTTGGCCTTCTCTGCCCTTCAGAGTCCATTCTGGGCACACGTTCCAAGTAGGTTTAGAGGGAAATGAAGGGAGAGAGAGAGGGCTCTTATTTTCTCAGTCCGAACTTCTGTGAGGGATTCCTGGCAGATCAGCAGGGCGGAATCCCGAGTTTGAAGGCAGCAGGCTGAACCGCAACCACACGGCAGAAGAGTAATCCTTGTGGTCCAGGAGCGTGAGGAGGGAGAATGTAAGATGCGTTTACAGCTGCTTCACTGAAACTTGGTGGAATCTCACTCCTTTTGTCCTGGCGTTTTGTTTTGCTTAACTCCAGGGCCAGATTGAGGTTGTTTTCCAATTTACTAATCACTTTTCACCCCCGTGCTCTAAATTTTAGAATTTCAGAGTAGGAGGGGTTCTTGGAGATGACTGGTCTGCCACCCTCTTATTACTGACTCAGGAAGCGGAGTGAACCAGATCCAGGTCTCCTAACTTCTCCTGTGCTTTCTTCATTACTTGGATGAGGGCATAGCTGATTTGGGGTCTGTCTTAGTGAAGGATATAGGGACAGGCAGTAAAAATTACAGCCTCAGCTGTTGACTCATGAATAAAGTTTCAACTCCAACTCCATATTGCTCTTCTGCAAAATCTCTCACTGCATGCTTTCTGAATGCATAGAAATTCCTCCTGGGTATTCCTCTTTTTATGAAACTGTTTCTCCCCAGAGCTCCTGACACCTGAGTTCCTCTGCTCACATAGTAGCCATGCTCTAGTCCTTTACCCAAACAGGCTTCTGCGTTGCACAAGCCACCCAGACTTTCCTCAGCTGGGGTCCATGTCTTTTGCTGTCCTAGAAGCCTGCCCAGATACTTAAATCCCAGCTTGAAGGCTGATGGTGTCCTCTGCCTCAGGCCACCTCAGCAGCCCTTACAGAGGAAGTGAGTCACAGCAAGGCAGGCAGCTTGGGGCACTGTGGGCGTGGCCATGCCTGCCCAGGGCACTGGGGGATGGGTCAGAAAGGTGGTGATCAAAATCTCCTGGTCCAGGGGCACCTGGGTGGCTCAGTGGGTTAAAGCCTCTGCCTTCGGCTTGGGTCATGACCCCAGGGTCTTGGGATCGAGCCCCGCATCAGGCTCTCTGCTTGGCGGGGAGCCTGCTTCCTCCTCTCTCTGCCTCTCTCTCTGCCTACTTGTAATCTCTGCCTGTCAAATAAATAAAATCTTAAAAAAAAAAAAAATCTCCTGGTCCAGCTGAGGTGGGGAGTGTATGTGGGGTGTGTGTGTGTGTGTGTGTGTGTGTGTGTGGCGCAGACCCGAGCTACCGTCCTAAGTATGTTGACAGAACTGGTAGCATCATTCTAATGCTGCCTAAAGGCACTTCCCTTTCTCCAGCCACCTTCTCTTTTGTCTCCTGGGGGAGGGGTACCCCCTCTTATCTTTATTTCTCAGGCCTTGACTATCCGACTTCTGTCCCCAAACTTCCCCTGCCCACTGCTATCTTAAAAGTAAGTTGAACAGTCTTCAGTCCTCTAAGGAATCATTTAAAAAGTCTTGTGGGGGGCACCTGGGTGGCTCAGTGGGTTAAGCCACTGCCTTCAGCTCAGGTCATGATCTCACGGTCCTGGGATGGAGCCCCTCATCGGGCTCTCTGCTCAGCGGGGAGCCTGCTTCTCCCTCTCTCTCTGCCTGCCTCTCTGCCTACTTGTGATCTCTGTCTGTCAAATGAATAAATAAAATCTTTAAAAAACCCAAAAAAGTCTTGTGGGCACCTTGGAGAAACTTGGCGTCTAGGAAAACTTCTTGGGAAACGGGCTCAGAAGCTAAAGGAAAATAACCAAACAGTACAGAGGCATGAGGAATTAGAGAGGGATCTGAAGGTTAGCTGGAGCTCTAAGCAGAGACACTGAACCCTTCTGGAAAAGGGTGTGTGGGTACGTAGCAGAGAGGAATCTGGGGAGGACTCTCAAGAAAGGTAGAGGGAACTTTGGATTGGAAGGCAGAAGAAGAGGGTTACAGAGAGGTAAAAAGATGTAAGCAGTGCTAATTAGGGAGGAATTCAGCCTGGGGCAAATGAAAACAGAGCTGGAGGGCTTGCAGGGAATTGTAAAATCAGGCAGGTCGGG